AAAAAGTGAAAAAAAGTGAAAAAAAACCTCTTGTGGCATTAACCCCATGTCTAAAATTAATGATTAATAAGAAGCTTGTTCACCCAGTTCAGTTGAAGCCTAAGTACTATCTTCAGCTCATTGATCGTGGGATCAAATTTACTGGTGTTATATTGCAAATGTTATATTGTTAGTTTTCAGGGTAGTATAACGTAAAATGTAACATAAACAATGTGGCAGAATGAAATGAAATTATCTGCCATGTAGTGCGAATGTAGCTCTAGTTCATTTATAGTAAATTAGACATATCGAGAAATGGGCTAAATAATATTGATTTTTCCAATAACCTCATTATGAGAAATATTAGATAAATGGCTAAATTTAATATGTTTTCACTTCCTAAGATATTTCTTCTGTTAAATGTTAACTCCCTGTGTTAAACCCTGCACATTCCAGATTACACTGTGTGCTGTATCTCTTCTGAGCTGTACATTGCAACGATGTCGTGTAGGAAGAGATGCAGAGACTTTAGTGTCCATTTTTAGATGGATCCTGTTATGTTTTCAGACACACAGCGCTTCAATCACCGCCGTGTTGCCTTCAGCCATCTTTTTATTTCTCCCTTTACTCATACACATTATCCACTAGATGTCGCTCTTGACATATCATTACACCTCCCCCTTTTATGATACAGCCCCTACAGGATAACTTAAACATGTCTACTCATAAACATTGAGATTCCTGCCACATAGCACTAGAAACATGTGCACACATGTGAATAGGTTTACCACTTGTAACTGTGAACTGTTGTCCAAGGACTAACTTTTTTTTTTAATTCAGTCTTTGTATCGATCTGGAGTTTTGACCTGTCGTCCACTTCTTGTGTATTTGGTCCCTGCGTTACTCTCTGTTTGTTGTTTAGTGTCGTGTGTGGCTGTGTTCCCAGAGTCTCCAGCACTGTCCTCATGATGGGTGAGTGAGGTGGGTTTAGTTGCTGATGTTTGCACTGTTGTGTCCCTTTCCTCATCCTCCACGTCTCTGCCATTCAATAGTATGTGCCTGCGATTCCTCCTCAGTTGCTGAGTATGTATGAACGCGAATTGAGGTCCATTGTCTGACTTTATCTCATCTGGTACTCCGTGTCTGGCTAGTATAGACTTAGTGACTTTGATAACAGTTGCTGCTTTAGTGTCCGTTAGCTGTGCCACCTCCCAATATCGTGAGTAATAGTCAGTTATTATTAGAAAATCTTTCCCTTTCCACATGAATAGATCCGTTCCCAGTATCTGCCATGGCCGTTGAGGAACCTCATGCAGAATGAGCTTTTCCTTTTGCTGTGAGTTACAGAATGTTTGACACATGTTGCACCTTGACACCACTGCTTCAATGTCCCTTGACATCTTAGGCCAGAACAGGAGTTCTCTGGCTCTCGCCTTGCACTTTTCGATCCCGAAGTGTCCTGCATGTATAACTTTCAGCATTTCTTCCCTCATGGTTTGTGGTACAATTATTTTGTCACCTTTCATCATCATTCTGTTTATTTCACTTATCTCTTCTCTGTAGTTCCAATATTCCCTTGCTACAATAGGGACATTTTTCCTATCCTTTGGCCATCCCCGTTGCACCATTCTACTGAGTGCAATCAGTGTGTTGTCTTTTGCTGCCTCTCTGCAAATGCGTTCCCTAGTTTCTTCACTCACAGGGGTATATTTTGTAATGAGGTTAATATGTGCATCTAACTCCTCTTCCAACTTGTCTCCAGGTTCAGAATCATCATCAGTTACATTGAGGTGTGCTCTAGATACTGTAGTGTGTCCACCACAAACATTTCCTTGCCTGGTCTGTAAATCACATTCAGCTGGTAGGGTTGTAGTTTCAGCAGAAGTCGCTGTATCCGAGGCGTAGCACTCCCATCAGGTTTTTTAAAGATTGTAACCAGTGGTTTGTGATCAGTCTCGACATCTGTTAGCCATAAATGAACTGATGGAATCTTTGACATATACAATACAATGGCAAGCATTTCTTTTTCAATTTGGGCGTAGTTGATTTGTATGTCAGTTAAGGCCTTAGATGCATACCTGTATGCAACTGCCATCCCATCTTGCATGAGAACTGCCCCCAGTCCTGACTTTGATGCATCCACAGATAGCCTGGTTGCTGAGTACCTGAGTACCTGAGTGAGGTATTTGCCTTCTCAATGAGAGTGTTTTTGATCAACTGTGTTGCTTTGTCATGTCTTTCAGTCCAGTGCCATGCAACATCTTTTCGCACCAATTCTCTCAGTGGTTCAGTGATGCTGGAGAGGAAGGGCATGAATTTGGAAAGATACGTCACCATTCCCGGGAATCGCTCGAGTGCTGGTCGATCTTTTGGTGTCTCCACCTCTGCAATGGCTTGTACCTTGCTGGGATCCGGTCTAATGCCATCTTGACATAAAATGTGGCCTAAGTATTTAACCTCTCTAATGCCAATTCTACTTTTCTCTTTGTTAAATCTTAAGTTAACCTGCCTGGCTCTTTTCAGTACTTGTTTCAGTCTGTCGTCGTGTTCATGCTTATCTTTAGCATATATCAGCAGATCATCGATGTACGAGACCACACCTTCGATTCCTTCAAACAACTGTGATACCCTTTTATGGAATACTTCTTGAGACCTGTTTATTCCAAAGGGAAGACGTAGATACCAGTACCTTCCAAATGGGGTGTTGAAAGTGGTCAGATATGAGGATTCCTCAGTGACAGGTATCTGCCAGTACCCTGAGCTTGCATCCAGTGTGCTTAAGTATGAAGCGCCAGCAAGCTTACCCATGATCTCCTCAACTGTAGGTATCTGAAAATGTTGTCTGCATATTGCATTATTTAAGTCTTTCGCGTCTCAGCAGGTTCGCAGCTTGCCATTGGGTTTTTCCACCATTGTCATTGAGTTGACCCATTGTGTTGGTTTGTCTACCTTTGCAATCACATTCAAGTTTTCCATTCTTTGCAGTTCTTTTTTGAGTCTGTCCACAAGCATAACTGGCACCTTTCTTGGGGCATGTACAACTGGTATTGCATCAGGTTTTATCTGTATATGGTATGGTACTGCCAAGCACCCCAGCCCCTGAAACACATCGGCGTATTCCTCTGTTATGACAGAGCTCCTGTCTGGTATCTCCACGCTCCTGATAAGCCTAACCAAGTTCATTCGTATGCAGTCTTTAAGTCCTAGTATTGGTTCAACAGTCTCTAAATTGACAATGGTAAAGTCACATAAGAATGTTTGCCCTTTTATAGTGCATGGAAGTTCACACTTTCCTGTTAGGGGTATCCTGTTTCCACCATACCCCAACAGTGGCCTTTTGGGAGATTTGATACTAAAAGGATATGTTTTCTTTATGTGTTGTGCCAGTTTCTTAGTTATTGTGTTATCCTGTGCTGCAGTATCTATCTTAAATTGATAGCTTTTCCTTTGATATCCAGTTTAACATGCCAGGCCTCTTCTTCTGTTGGATCCGATACAGCGAACATGGTTAAATCTGTGCTGCTGTCTGATTCACTCGCCTCCTGAATTTCATTTACCTTCTTGCTCTTGCACACCCTCGCAAAGTGGTTTACTTTTTTGCAATTGCTGCATACCTTTCCATATGTGGGACACCTTCTCCTTACGTGTGTTTCTCTACAGAAGTGACAGTTAATGACATTGTCCCCTTCATGTTTACTTTGGCTTGTTTGCCGTCTTCTTGCTCCATCATCCTCCTCTCTCCTAGCTATGGTGTGTCTCCCCCTGTTTTGCCTCGCCATCGTGGGGCGTGCGCCCTGAGTTACTGAGTTCACCGTCGCCATTGTAATATCCTCAGTTTTGCTATCTGCATTAGTGAAACTGAGCATTTGTTTTTGAGTACTCTCTGCCGCCCTACAGATGTCAATACATTTCTCCAAAGTTAATCGGTCTTCTCTTAAAAGCCGCCGCCGCGTTTCGTTGTCCTTTATGCCATCAATAATACGATCACGTATAATCCCATCCACCAAGTGCTCATACTCACAGTTTCTTGTAAGGATCTGCAGCTCAGTGAGAAATTGGTCAAAAGTCTCGTCCTGTTTCTGTATTCAGTTATTGAAAATATGTCTTTCAAATGCCGTATTCTTCCTCGGTGTGCAGTATTCTTCAAATTTTCGTCGGTTCGATATTACCCACGTCATCGTTGGCAAAAGTAAACGTGCTGTATAACTCCTGCGCCTGCTCCCCGGCACACTGAAGCAGCAGCGAGCACTGAAGCTTCTCCGGCTTACCCTCCTTCTCCGTGGCGGCCAGGTATAGATGAAATTGTTGAATCCTTCGCCGCCAGTTCTCCGAAAGATTCCCTTCTAGGTTCAGAAGCGGCGGAGAGCGTAAAGTATCCATTTCTGATCACCCTGGAGGCTACCATTGTACTTCTGACACCATGTTATGTTTTCAGACACACAGCGCTTCAATCACCACCGTGTTGCCTTCAGCCATCTTTTTATTTCTTCCTTTACTCATACACATTATCCACTAGATGTCGCTATTGACATATCATTACCGATCCCTGTCAGCTGGGTAGTGAACAGAGCTCTGGCAGGACACTGGCACACACACTGCAGTAAGGTGCAGTTCTATCAGGCTCAGTAGAGCTGAGCTTTATACACATGACAGTGTCACTAAGATTGGTGCACTACCGAAAAATATACAGGTCCTGGGTATTATATTAAATGCCCATTGGTCTTGTATTTAAAAAAATCTACAGAATATTTCGATATCCACAAAATAAAAGAACTTGAATCACCTGAATATCATTAATACTGCTTTTTAGTTATAACTTTCATGTGATGTTTGGATTAGAATACTTATTCAAAAATGTCTTGAATAATACATTTTATAAATAGTTAATTCAATATTATAGAAATGATAGATTTCTCATTTTTAGTTATTTCATTTATTAACAGTTGTCTTTAGAGCAAACCAATTAAACTGATTAGAACATACTGATTTGTTAGACTGGCTGTTAACTGTGAGGTTCAATACCTACATTTCTGCTGAAAGAAAAATGTCGTCGGTCCTGCCTGTTGCTGGTTGTCGCACTGCCCTAAAACACTCAGATATGACCTCAAGCATCTCTGAATACCTTATTTAATACAGCTAGCTAACACTCTTGTATCATATATGTATGATATACGGTTGTGTGTGTGTATGTGTGCCTTAGTGGGTGCAGTGATTTTTGTTTGTTTGTTTGTTCAGTTACATA